TTTAAAGAAACACTTCTGAGAATATTGCTATATGGCAACGTAGTTTCTTTCTCAGTGGCATCTTAGAGGAACAAAGGAATGTTATGACTGTGGAGTCTTTAAAAAAAAATGAAATAACTAAATAAACATGTCTGGAATGATAAGCCATTTGCTCCATTTAAATGATTAAAATTCACCCCATACCCCCAAATTGTTCAATATTTTCCCCATTTTCGCAGAGGATTAATGGTCCATGAAAACAAAGAGAAATATTCAGTGCAGCTTCAAAGCAAGCCTCATACATACAAACTCTATTCCTTTCAGGGCAAGTAATTTTATAGTGAAACATAGTAAGTCAAAGAAAGTGAAAGCAGGAGATAAGGGGAGAAGAAAGAAATCTAACTACATCTAGTTTACATTGACAACATTCGCTACTCCTTTACAATTTTTTATTATTATTACAAACTATTCTAGTTGCTACTCCATCCATGTTCTGAATCATAAAAACTGTAACCAGTCCCAAGATTCATAGTCTTTAGCTCCCTTTTTGACACATTCACTCCTCCTTCATGTATATTTGTTCTGCAAATCAGTCCTCATCCAATCGCTCAATATGATTCAATATCAATATGATTGATAGACTATCAATAGATTCAAACTCAATGTAAATCGCTCTAATCTTGACTGTAGGAAATATGACTTCTGCAATAGAGTAGTAAATGTCTGGAACACTCTACCTGATCCTAAAGAGATTTGTTAGTCTCTCTAATCCCCATACCTTTTACCTTAAACTGTCTACCATGGGCCTTTCATGTTTCTTAAGAGGTCCCTAAGGGGGCGTGCATAAGCGTTCCAGCATGTCTACCGTCCCTGTCCTACTGTCCCCATTTATATGTAATCATTCTGTGTGTTTATGGCTATGTTTTGCCTATTTATATGCTTTTATTTGTGCCAATTTTTTTTCATGTGGCCATGTCTATATCTATACTGTTACTTGTTTCCTTATACTTGTTGATAAATAAATAAATAAATAAATGATTAAACCATCTCAACATATTTCTTTCAAGCCACTCACTCATTCATTCATCACCTTATGAAATATGTCTCTGTTTTGTGGATGGAAATATATGTTTGCTGCTAAAAGTTTAAGTAGCTTGTACTTGGGAGGAAAGAAAACACGCAGAAGGACAAACAAGGAAGCACTTTCCTTTAAAAAATAATAATAAAGTTCTAAGAATGTTAGCTGACATATCTTTAGTTGCTACCAAGCTGCCAGTTCCCATAGAGAAAAATCTGTGTAATAGAGAAAATCTGGTGTAACTCCATTCATACTAGATTCCATGTCATTCTTTACCAGCACACAAGGAAGTACAGACAGCTTATTTTTCTTGCATGTCCTGAAAGGTTGATTATGTTCCCAGAAATACCCTTTACCGTTATTCAAGGATACAACTGGCTATTGAATTTGGGCCTCTCATTGCCCTGTTACTAAGCCACCAGATCAGACTGAAAAAACATGTGTCAGCATCCCCCTATATTATCTTTGGACCACATGAGTGCCACATTGATATCACAACATTTATGTTTGAAAATGCCATTCAAGGTTGCCACTTCTACACATCAGGGTAGCACCAAAAAATGGTTTACAAGAGGGACAGTGAAAAAGATGTAAAGATAATCATTCTGGTGTATGTTTTCTTTGTGTGAGAGTATGCATTCCTTATTATTTTACGCGGTAAGGTTTTGGAATGTTTATCCTCATCCAAATGTTTTTGTAACTTCATGAACGTGTCAAAGGTCCTCTGCGGGAATTCTGTGGGAAAATGTAGAATGACCTGCACATAAGAAACAAGGAAAATATCTCAGCATGAGACACCATGGAAGTTGAAGCATCTTTAGATGTTAAAATGAAGCATCTGCATCTCTGCACATGGTGCTTTCAAGATTTTTAATGGGAGATCCCCATTAAAAGGACAAACACTGTATTATGTTCTGATCTAGAATGAAAAATGGATTCCATTACAACCCCTACAGAGTTCTAATCACTAGTTAAAATGCTTATTCTTATTTCCTAAATAAAGAATACAGATTATTATTTTAAGAAAAAAATGTGGCATGCATATACACACAGAGATACATTACATGATAATTAGTATAAGACAACTAGGTAGATATAGTCTTATTTTCAGATGAATTCGATACTAAGGAAATAGATATCACAAATCTTAAACAAAGGCAAAATTGACTCATCTCATTTCATATATTAAATGCCTTGGTAAGGCCACACTTGGAATACTGCATCCAGTTTTGATCACCATGATGTAAAAAAGATGGTGAGACTCTAGATAGAGTGCAGAGAAGATCAACAAAGATTATTAGGGGACTGGAGACTAAACGGTATAAAGAACGGTTGCTGGAATTGGGTATGTCTAGCTTAATGAAAAGAAGGACTAGGGGTGACATGATAGTGTTCCAATATCTCAGGGATTGCTACAAAGAAGAGGGAGTCAAGCTACTCTCCAAAGCACCTGAAGGCAGAACAAAAAGCAATGGGTGGAAACTAATCAAGGAGAGAAGCAACCTAGAACTAAGGAGAAATTTCCTGACAATTAAAACAATTAATCAGTTGAACAACTTGCCTCCAGAAGTTGTAAATGCTCTAACACTGGAAGGTTTTAAGAAGAGATTGGATAACCATTTGTCTGAAATGGTATAGATTTCCTGCCTAAGCAGGGGATTGGACTAGAAGACCTCCAAGGTTCCTTCCAACTCTGTTATTATATTCTAAATAATAATGACAAACAGTGCTTAATCTCATAAGAAAAATACATACGTGCATCTCTATGATTTTTTAAAATTAGAATAAATGTTACTAGCCCATTCATGTCAAAGAAACTTCACTACTTTTTTAAAAAAATCCTGCCTTCTGATATTTATCAGATGAATATATTAGTTTTCTTCTCTGAGAAAGAACACCTCTTTTTATATTACAAAAGTGATAATGGAATCCAATAAACTATGATACACATGTTGGATCCAGATTATGTTGGCTGAAAATAAATTCCACTGAAATCAATGAGACTCTCCAATCATTAGTTAACTGAAGTGCTACTGATTGCAGCAATACCTAAAATGTCACTAATACTGCAGTAAATAGTGGGGCAGCCTTAGATTGGATCTCACCCTTGATTTCCAGTTGTGTAACAAATTTCTTTTGTAGACATCAATTGCAACACCATAATAAAGCATTAATTGTTCCTATATAGTTAATTGGATTGCTTCTCTACATATATATATTAGGCAGTTCAATATCATAAAATAACCACTATGCATAAATGAAGTGGTCTCACAATAAACATTTCAATAAAGTGTTTGATTTAAATACATCATTGGAGCATTATTGGAAAAATGCAGGTTTTGTTGTATTTTGACTTTATTAGACATAAATTATATCAATAGAAATGTCTTAATTAAAATAAGTGGAAAATTGTATTAAAGTTTAAACAATGTGTATGATCCGGAACATGCTTGGATTTATGCCACAAATGGTCATCAGTAACAAACTCCAAAGGAAATCCAAGTTGAAATGCAATAAACTTGACAGAGTAACAAGTACAAATAAAGGAGACTATTTGTAACTCAGGGTTGAAATGAAGGGCCCTTGGTGCTCTCTGAACTTGGTTGTTTGCTAGCATTGATGATGTTACCTTATTTGGGTAATGAAACATTTGCAAAAAAAAAAAAACCAACCATGCGCAGAGAGCACCAAAGATCCCACAGTGTAACATGTGGCCAATCTGAGGGGCCCATACAGTTGAGGATTGAAAATAAGGCTCAGTTCCAGCAACTAAGAAACAAAAACTTTTAAACCTGCACTATCACAGCCCTGCTCAAACTCAACTGGAAGCCATCAGAGAAGGCCTTATAGAACACCTACTTATGAAGATGATCGGTACCGATTCACAGCACTACTTTGGATTGGATAGGGATGTCTTCTTTTTCAAATCAGATAGAGTTTTCTCTATCTTCTGTGGAAGTGAGTCAGAGAACCGTCCCTCAGTGAGGGACTGAAGTTTATGGGAGAAAATGACTTTTCTGAGCTTTCCATATACATTTCTTCCAAGAAGAATGACAGTATTTCTGACCTCTTTTGGCCTGCAGCAGATTTACTCTCTGACAAGGTATGCATAGGATTGTATTGTTGGGTTGAAAGATTCAATCTGATTGTTACACTATGTATGCATGTCAGGGGTGAAATCTACTTAACTTCCATACCGGTTCGGAAGTGTGCGTGTGGACCCTCTGTGCATGTGCAAACCCTTCTGTGCATGCGCAGAGGGTAAAAAACAGGTAGGAAGTAATGACGCCTCGCGCTGCCGTCGCTACCAGTTCTCCGAACCACCCTCCGCTATCGCTACCGGTTTGACCGAACCAGTCCAAACCGGTAGCATTTCACCCCTGATGCATGTGGCCGGGTGCTTTCCTTTGTGAAAAATATGGAAACGAAACAGATTTATGAAAGGACATATATAGAACTGAAGTGGTTTGAAAAAAGACTATCAACACATGTCATATTGGGCCACAAAGATTGTCAGATATAATACCAAAGTTCCAAGTTTCCTATAGCTTGGAAAATTTAACCTATAGCAAGACAAAAGATATGTAAGTTTTTTTTCTGTCTCTGTCTTTCTCTGTCTCTCTCTCTCTGTCTCTCTGTCTCTCTCTCCACTGAGCCACAGAACAACTGAAAGGTATGAAGGTAGGGAAAAAAGGCAAGTCTTTCTCTGTCTCTCATTCTTTCTTTCATCATCTATTATTCTGTACAACTTCAGCAGTCTGCATATGGGATATTTTTGTAGCCTGTGTCAGTGATAACAGGTTTCCAGGATGAAGCGTTCAGTCTTTTTTGACCTTCCGTTCCTCCCCATGAAGTCTCCCAAATGCAGCCAGCAGTTTGGAACAGATGACAACACTGGTCCTTTGTTCTGCTATCCCGTGGCTGGAGGCACACAGGGAGCTTCTCTGCACAGTTGGTTAGTATTATGTGCATTTTCTTTTCTTTCCTTTCCTTTTTGATATAGCAAACACTAAGGAAACACAATAACGCAACTTGGCACAAATGATATTTTAATAAGATAAACAGAGACATAAGCCCTTATAGATGTGCGTATGGGGTGAGAAAAATAAGTCTATAAACAGAATAGGCATTTACATAAACTCCACAGAAAGATATAATCTAGCTCTCTTTTCTTGTACTACTATTCATCTCCATGCAATGAACTATTTATCACTAGGAAAGCAAACAAAAAAAAGAAAGGATAGTTCAATGGCCCAAGGTATTTGCTGTCAACTTCAATGGAAAAAAATATAAAATGTTATTCCAAGGACACCCCTTTCTCTTTGGTCTGAGTGTGTATACAGACACACACATACACACACACACACACACACACACACACACACAGCTGAATAGCTGAATATGTTTTAATAGCTGAATATGTTGTCATCAATTGTTTTTGACTATTATAAAAGAAAGAAAACAACAATGTTTTAAGGAAATGTTAAATTCTTGGGATAGTTGGATACATTTCCTTCAAAGATTAATCTATTTGTCTATCATAATCTATCTATCTATCTATCTATCTATCTATCTATCTATCTATCTATCCAGGGGTGAAATCCAGCAGGTTCTGACAGGTTCTGGAGAACCAGTAGCGGAAATTTTGAGTAATTCAGAGAACTGGCAAATACCATCTCTGGCTGGCCCCAGAGTGGGGTGGGAATGGAGATTTTGCAATATCCTTCCCCCAGGAGTGGGGAGGGAATGGAAATTTTGCAGTATCCTTCCCCTGCCATGCCCACCAAACCACACCCACAGAACCAGTAGTAAAAAAAAATGGATTTCACCACTCTATCCATCTATCTATCTATCTATCTATCTATCTATCTATCTATCTATCTATCTAATCATCTAGCTGTTATTAGTATTTGGTTCCTCAAATAGTCAGCCAGATGTTCAGACTGGATTTGAAATTTTTATTCACCTATTGAGTCCTTCCCAAGGATCTGAAATAGGTAGTTCTGGATGTGTTAAAGGTATTGTCACATGATGTAAGCTGCAAGTAAAGTAAAGTTAAACTGTCTTTTGCAATTGACTGATGGTGGTTTTGTCAATAACAATGGTGTTCAAATTGTGCTCCATTTGTTTTGGGATTGTACTCAAGACACTTATTTCTATTGGTATTACCTTTGTTTTCTTTTGCCACAGTCGTTCTATTTCTATTTGCAGCTCTTTGTATTTTGTTATCTTCTCCAGTTCTTTCTCTTCTATTCTGCTGTGTCCAGGTTCCTTCCTGTCCACTATCTAGATTTTTGTCTTTCTCATCCATAGTTGTTAAGTCTGGGGTATTATGTAGGTGCCTGTGTGTTTGAAAGTCCCAGAGCAGTTTAACTTCTTCATCTTTTCATTACTATTTTATGGTTCGCCAATTCTTGCTTGCTGGCAAATGGTATTTCTTGCAGATCTTCCAATGCACCTTTGTTGCTACTTTGTCATATTGTTGCTATTATTATTATTTATTGATTTATTTCATTAGATAAATGAATGATTTATTATATATAGATGATATATAGATACAGCAAGGTTGACTTAGCCTTCCATCCTTCCAAGGTGGGTAAAATGAGGACCCAAGTTGTTGGGGGCAATATGCTGATTCTGTAAACCACTTAGAGAGGACTGTAAAGCACTGTAAAGCGGTATATAAGTCTAAGTGCTATTGCTATTGCTATACATAGATCTATAGAGACAGTTATATGTTTACCCAGCTCATCATAGTGTCTCTATATTAGCCACCCAAATAAAAACAACCAATACAAAAACTTATAATGACCAGCAAGATAAAAGTAAATCTAATGCCTGGAAAAACATTCAAGACCATTTGCAACTTCTTTAAAACATTGGATGACCCTTAGGGACTTCATAAAGTTGTTATCCACATCTAATTTCCACTTGAGAGACAGATTTTTGGAGTATAATCATATTTAATGTCAACTAAATTTAAATCTATTAAAATTAAATTAAATGTAGAGCTGCTTATGCTGACAGCCAGTATAATGCATGGGCCCAAAAAACCTCTGCTCTGAACCACAATCTTCTCAACTCAATAAATGACCTCCCCCAATGGCTTCATATCAGTATTAAGTAGCAGGAAGTCACCCCTCATGGAACCCCATAAGGTTCATCAGTGCAAGTGGCTGAGAATATTGGAGAGAGCACCCTGTCTATTGAAAATAACTGGCTGAAAAGAATCCCATATAACAGAGGCAGATAATATTCCATCCATATGGAATCCAAACCAGAGATAATTGGGTGCACTGGAAAATGTTGTATTAATTTATCATACTGGAAACTTCATAGTCCAGGTCTTATAACAAAAAGGAATTGGCCATTTGAAATAAAACTACCAGTTCACAATCCAACAACACAATAAGGGAAAAGAAGTGTGAATGCTTTGATTTCTTGAAGAAAAAAGGAAGGACATAAATCTCGATTAATCATAATGATTGTACTGACTGTCCACTAACTTTTGAAGGTCCCAAGGTGGATTTTGACTTGAAAATTAGCTCAGTTTTGCTCAACAGATATTCTACACTAAATTTAAAACAGAAACAGGTATTGTGTGTGTGTTTATAATCTTACACATTACAACAGCAATAATAAGTACTAATACAAACTAAAATAGTACAGAAAAAAATGAAAGAGATAGAAATAACAAAAAGCTAAAAGTGCAATTTGAAAAAAGTAAAAGGATATAAAGAAAAATATGAAGGTATAAAGAAGAATATTTCCAATATTATTGAAAGCACTTATAGGTACAATTTTATTTTAAGTCCATAAATCCTCCCTCCCTCTCTCTCCCCTCTCCCTCTCCCTCTCTCTCTCATCACATTATAACACTCTTCTTTCCATAATCTATCCTGTCTAATCATCAAAACCATAAATCACAGCTTCATTTTTTTTTCATTTTCACACAAAAAGTCCACAAGGGGTTTCCAGTCACCTGTAAATGTAGATATTGTCCTTTCACACAGATTTTACTTTAATGAACTCTGGTTGCAATACTTTTGATAGATTTTCTTTTACATTTAATGGAGCTAAATGTGAACAAGTAAAATGTAAACATTTTTATTTATTTCAGTGATTGATTTCAGTTGACTAAATTTAACCTTACCCTTAATGAGAACAAGAAATGCTTACATTTGGCTGGTTTAAAAACTGTTATGTCACAGAGAAGCCTAGACTTTGAAAATTGCTGAGAGAAAAGAAATGAGAAATCATATATGTGTAGGATTCATCAAAACTACTTATTTATTTTATTTTATTTTATATTGGATTTCTATACCGCCCTTCTCCCTAAGGACTCAGGGCGGTGTACAGCCAGATTAAAAAACATGCAGAACAAATATTAAAAACAATTAAAAGATATATAAATTTGGCCCAATTAAAACTCATTTACCAATTAAAAACGTTTAAAACATTTAAAAACAGTTAAAAATTTCATCTTAAGCCAGCCCGGCTTGTTTAAATAAATGGGTTTTAAGGGCGCGACGGAAGGCACTGAGGTCTTGGATTCTCCTTATCTCTGGGGGGAGCTGATTCCAGAGGGTAGGTGCCCCCACAGAGAAGGCCCTCCCCCTGGGGTCACCAGCCTGCATTGTTTGGCTGATGGCACCCCGAGGAGGCCCTCTCTGTGGGAGCGCACGGGTCGCTGGGAGGTCGTCGGTAGCAGCAGGCGGTCTCGCAGATAGCTAGGCCCTATGCCATGGAGCGCTTTAAAGGTGATAACCAACACCTTGAAGCGCACCCGGAAGACAACTGGGAGCCAGTGCAGCTCGCGCAGGAGCGGTGTTACATGGGAGCGCCATGCTGCTCCCGTCACTACCCGCGCTGCTGCGTTCTGGACCAGCTGGAGCCTCCGGGTGCTCCTCAAGGGGAGCCCCATGTAGAGAGCGTTGCAGTAGTCAAGGCGAGAGGTGACGAGGGCATGAGTGACTGTGCACAGGGAATCCCGATCAAGAAAGGGCCGCAACTGGCGAATCAGGCGAACCTGACAAAAGGTCCCCCTGGTTACAGCCGTCAGATGTTCCTCCAAGGACAGCTGCATATCCAGGAGGACTCCCAGATTGCGAGCCTTCTCTGTGGGGGCCAATGACTCGCCCCCAATAGTCAGTGATGGAGTCAACTGACTATATCGGGATGCCGGGAGCCACAGCCACTCAGTCTTGGAAGGGTTGAGCTTGAGCCTGTTCCTCCCCATCCAGACCCGTACAGCCTCCAGGCACTGGGACATCACTTCAAGGGCATCGTTGGGGTGGCCTGGGGTGGAGATGTACAGCTGGGTGTCATCAGCGTACTGGTGGTATCTCACCCCAAAGCCACGGATGATCTCACCCAGCGGCTTCACATAAATGTTGAACAGAAGGGGCGAGAGGACCGATCCCTGCGGCACTCCACAAATGAGAGGCCTCGAGGTCGACCTCTGCCCCCCTGCCAACACAAACTGCGACCGGTCGGAGAGAAAGGAGGAGAACCACCGCAACACGGTGCCTCCCACCCCCAACTCTTCCAGCCGGTGCAGCATGATACCATGGTCGATGGTATCAAAAGCCGCTGAGAGGTCTAACAGGACCAGAACAGAGGAACAACCCCTGTCCCGAGCCCTCCAGAGATCATCAACCAACGCGACCAATGCCGTTTCTGTGCTGTGCCCAGACCTGAAACCCGACTGGAACGGATCTAGATAAGATGTTTCCTCCAGGAATTGCGGAAACTGTCGTGCGACCACACTCTCAACAACCTTCGCCATAAAGCGAAGGTTGGAGACAGGACGATAGTTGGCCAATATTGCCGGATCCAGGGACGGCTTCTTGAGGAGAGGCCTCACCACCGCCTCTTTCAAGGCGGTGGGGAAGTAACCCTCACTCAACGAAGCGTTGATAACACCCTGGAGCCAGCCTCGTGTAACCTCCCGGGAAGCCAGTACCAACCAGGAGGGACACGGGTCCAGTAAACATGTGGCCGCACTGAGTCTCCCCAAAATCCTGTCCACATCATCAGGAGTCACAGCATCAAACTCCTCCCAGATAACATTCTCAAGACTATTCCTCGTCACCCTGCCCTGATCTACCCAGTCAGAGTCCAAATCCCCCCGGATCTGGGCGATTTTGTCATACAGGTATTGTCCGAAATCCTCCGCCCTGCCTTCTAAGGGATCCTCCCGCACTCCTGGATGGAGCAGGGCGCGGGTCACCCTAAACAGGGCAGCCGGACGATTCCCTGATGACGCAATAGAGGCGGAAAAGTAGTTAGACTTTGCCGTCTCTATCGCCACTAGGTAGGCCTTAATATGCGACCTTACCAGTGTTCGATCAGATTCAGCGAGACTGGCCCTCCAACCGCTCTCCAGGCGTCTTTTCCGGCGCTTCATTTCCCTCAGCTCCTCAGTAAACCAAGGAGCCGCACGGGATCGGCATCGGGTCAGAGGCCGCAAAGGAAAATTGCTGAGAGAAAAAGAAATGAGAAATCATATATGTGTAGGATTCATCAAAACTACTTCAGTGTTTCATTTTTGGATCTATTTGTACATGTGCAAGAAGCAAGACAATCATGTAACACCATCACAGGCATTATTAATTTCATCGCACAATCCCCAAATGGATTAAACTTCTGCAGCGTGAATTAGAATAACATGCATTAAAGTGTCATCTACTTTACTTACTTTGTATAATTTCTAAAAGAAAGTGAAAGATGACTGCAGATGTCCTCTTAATCCTCAGAGGTCTCATTTAAAGCACTATCACATTCATTGCCCTCTAAAGAGGATATAAGGCTGCAAGTTTCCTTTACCGCACACTTTACGAGCTATTCATTCCCATTTGCTTCAATTGTCAGTTTATATAGTTTCCACATTAAGCGAAAATGAGGTAGAGAATCAAAACTCACTTGTCTAAACTCACTCTAATGGCAGACATTGAATTATAGACCTATTACATCTGGGATATTGTGAAAATAATTCCAGTTGGCTGATAATATATATATATATATTCTTCTGTTCTCTGTTTCTTACCATTCTGATAAGGAAAGCTTTTGAAATTATATATAACAAATAGAAGAATAGGTTACAAATCAAAACAATATGGTATCCTGGGCTCTTCATAAAGACAGCTAAGATTTCAGAAGGAGTGTCTTTCAGTTCAGTCTTAAATACAAAGTCCTGAGATATATTCTTTCATGTCGATTATGTTGAATAGGGAGGATCTAGCCCAATAACTCTCGATGCAGATTAGTATTTGTTGAAATATATTTATTTACAGCTTAAATATATCACAGGTTTAAACATACAAAGTAACTGACCTATGTCCTTTCCTTTCAGGCGTGTATCTGGAACTGTCCGATGCCCATGTGGCTGGTGCTTTTGTACCCAGGGGGAGGAGTTAAGGTAAGGTGGGATTGTGGAAGTTATGGGTTGTGTGGTGATGTTAACCCTTGGTGAACCATGGAATAGTGGGAATATATATAGGTTAGACATTTTACGTGACAGATTAGCATCTTGGCATATTCAGGTGCAAGAAGGGTAATAACAAAAAGAGAAGACCGCCAGGTTAAAAAAAATCCCCCAAAAGACATTAACAGCATATTGCAAAGAATATCAACACTAATACAAAAATACTTCATTTGCAATTCAGGAAGCATCACCTGGAACCCATATAAAGCAAACTACCCAGAATTAACTTCATCAGCCTGGTGAAGAATATTTATCTTGATCATCCTGCCATATGAGAAACAAATACAGCTGTGTAGTAGTAGGATGGTCATTTTGATCATTGAGAAAATGATACAAGAGATGAGCTCATACTGAAGAGGAACTTATGTCCGAGACAGAATCTCCATTGCAAAAGAACTTTGAGATATTAGTAGGTTCAGTTACTGTGTGGCTTTCATTTTTTCAAAACACTGCATGCATTTCCTTCCGGTAATGGGTTAAATATCTCATTTTATCTGGATTGATTTCTGCATTTTCAAAGCATGTTGTGGAGGTGATATTTTGAACTCTTTATTGAAGGGAAATGCAGGGTAAAACATTTGAAATGAGTTTACTTGATTGTACTGGGAGCATTCAATATTTTCTGATTAAAAAGTAAAACTTTCTAAATAAGATTATATTCAAAGAGCTCATAGCACCAAAAATGGATAAATGTTCTTGGCTTCTGAAGTTATGAGCCCATAAATCACAATGTTATCATATCTTTTAACATGCCACATGAAAGAACACAACTCACGGACGGGGGCGGGACTGCAAGGACTTCAGGAGTGACTCATTTATGCAGCAAGCTCCAACCTTCCACCTTGTAGAATATAAACCCTTGGGAATGACCCAAATACAACCCCAATAGCCTGTAGCAATAATAGGTATTATAGCAATAGCAATAGCACTTAGACTTACATACTGCTTCACAGTCATCTCTAAATTTATAGTCAGCATATTGTCCCCAACAGCCTGGGTCCTCATTTTATCGACCTCAGAAGGATGGAAGGCTGTGTCAACCTTGAGCTGGTGAGAATCGAGCAGCTGACAGTTGGCAGTGTTAGCCCGCAATACTGCATTCTAACCACTGTGCCACCACAGCTCTTGTAGATAACATAGTTCTCCTAAAAGCGGACACCTTTATAGTAGTAGTCTGAATTCAATGGGGTTTACTTTCAGGAATGTATGTGTACATAGTTGTGGCTTTGCAGTATTATTCAGAAAGGGGATAGAAAAGGAGAAGGCAACAAATAAGTAAAATGGTCGAAGAGTTAATAAAGTAATAGGCATCAAAGTTATTACTAAAGATTGGAGGCCAAGATGGGAAACATTTGTCCAAGCAGTCATTAGCAGTTGGATCCAGCTCGGTATCCTCTAAGTACACAGTTATAAGCCTCAATTTATTAAATAGGATTTATTTTGGTAAGTAGGTATAAGACTGCAACTTAAAGCACAGTTTCTAATTACCTTCCTCTTTCTCCTCGCTCTTTTGTCTAGCTCTGACAAACTTATCTTTAAATGCACTTCTCTTTATGTCACATTCAGCTTTATTCTCTTCAGCATAAGCTCTTCTCCAGCTCTCCAATGCTGAGGGAGAAGGGAATGAAGACAGCATACTGATTATTTCTATCACTGCTATTTCTACTTATCATTTTTATTAAAACAAAGCCAAAAAAAAATAATATATGAGAGGGTATATTACTGTTCTGCCTGAAAACCAGTTGGTTCATGGGTCAATGGAACTGAGGGAAACAATCACCCCTAATCTCCATATTGAATCTGTGCATGAAAGAGAAAAGGACAAGGAACATCTGGCACTCCAAGTACTGGAAAATAACAAAATCCTAGGATCTTTCATCATTTACTATGCTGGTTAGGATGTCTGGGACTTGTTGAGCAACCTTTGGAGATTTTTCACTTCTTCACAGATAGATGATTAAGTTAAGGAACTCAGTTCTGTAGCAGAAGGGTTGCTTGCTAACAACTACTTCATGGTGACTTCAATTAAAATAATTTCACATTGTGAAAACATCTGTCAAGGATGTGGAAGGACTGTAGAGATGCAACCCAAAGATGAGATGCTACTGACTTGGTTTTCAGGCAGGTTCTTATTCTCATTGCTTGGTGCAACAGCTCCTCTCCTATAACCCCCTTTGGCCCGTGAGGATCTGCAGCCTGAATCTAGTTCACGATGGGTTTATTAACTTTGTAAATTGTTATTTCGTTTCTGAGAGTGCTGCTTTAAGAAGACACATTCACACCATTGCTGAAAGAAAATGACATTTTTACTTGCTCAGGCAAAAAAAAAACCCTTTAATAACACAGTTGGGATCATGGCCTTTATGAATTATGGGCCTTTCACACTGTAGTTATAAATGATAATGCTCACTCACTTTTCACTGTGAAGTGTATTAGTAGTAGATTTGATTTAACATTATGGTCATTAGAATTCCCTGGAGATGTACAATAAATGTCACTGGTTGTTGTTAGAGAGTTAAAGGTTTTGTTTCCTACTACCTATAATGACTATCTTTTTTTTTCATGTTAAGAAGACTTAAGATGTGTGTACACACACTTAGGCACACACACGCACACACACACACACACACACTGAACTGCTGCTGCCTACTTTCAAATAAATAAACCTTGCCAAGCAATTTGGGTGCTTGGCAACCAATGTGGATTTACAATGGTTGCAGCATCCTGCAGTCATGTGATTGCCATTTGTGACCTTCTCAGGTGATTACCAACAAACAAAGGTAATGGGGAAGCCAGCAGGAAGATGTAAGTCATGGTCACATGTCATTGTGTTTAATGAACATGGTGATTTGCTTAAGAACCACAGCCAGATCTGATATTGTATGTTGGTCACAATCCTGTGATATTTCACTTTGCAATCAATAAATGGGAACTATCTGCATGTAAAATAATCTAGCTATTATAGTTGTTGGCTTCATAAATTCAGCTTATTTACTTATTTTTGTGCAACGGTAAAACAAAACAAGACTTGTCATTACTTAAATCAATTGCTGGCTTTTCAGGATAGGGCAAATGCCAAATCAAATGTCACATGATTATGCTTAGGTCCAGGAAAGGAAGCTTCTTCCTGGGAAGCATCCTGGAGTAATCACTAAGCTAAATCTTGCAAGTGACCAAAATGCTTAGGACAGAGAGTTTAACATGAGATCACAGATATGTCATCCCTCTAAAAGCAAAGCTACAAATAGTCAAGTGGTCTATTTTTTGGAGTCTTCTGAAACATTTTTATCATTATCATTATTATTGATCATCGCACAGCCAGCAAATGTTCAGACTGGAGTTTGGAATTTTTGTCTACTTATCAAGTCTTTACTAAGGACTTGGGATAGGCAAATCTAGATGTTTGATGTTGTTACAGATATCGTCACAGGATGGAAGCTGTTCCAAGTAAAGCCGCCTTCTGCAATTGAGTGATGGCAAATTTGTCAATGCCTATGTTGTTCAAATGGTGCTCCAATTGTTTTGGGATTGCTCTCAAGGTGCCTTTTACTATTGGTACTACCCTTGCTTTTTTTTACTATTATTATTAAATTTATATGCCGCCCTTCTCTGGAGACTCACGGCGGCTTACAATGCGTTAAGCAATAGCCTTCATACTTTTGTATATTTTTATTCAAAGTCAGCTTATTGCCTCCACAATCTGGGTCCTCATTTTACCTACCTTACAAAGGATGGAAGGCTGAGTCAACCTTGAGCCTGGTGAGATTTGAACTTGCAGTAATTGCAGGCAGCTGATGTTAATAACTGTTAATAACAGTGCTTTAGTCTGCCGCGCCACCAGGCTCTTGCTTGCCTTTGCCATAGTCGTTCTATTTCTATTTGTAGGTCTTTGTATTTTGTTATCTTTGCCAATTTTTTCTCTTCTATTCTGCTGTCTCCAGGCACTGCCACATCTACTATCCAGACTTTTTTGTCTTTCTTATCAACAAGTGTTAAGGCCAGGGTGTTATGTGGCAGGTGCCTGTCTGTCTGAATTCCTAAGTCCCAGACAGATGCCTGCCACTACTACTACTACTACTACTACTACTACTACTACTACTACTACTACTTCTCCTTCTCCTTCTCCTTCTCTTTCTCTTTCTTCTTCTTCTTCTTCCTATTATTATTATTATTATTATTATTATTATTATTATCTTTTATTCATTAAACATGAAATTCAGTCAACTGAACATTTAAAAATGTATCACAAATATCATTGTCTGGCTCTGATGGTTGATGCAGGTTGCTGCCAGCATCCTAGGTATTGACCAAGTATCTTCTTAAAATGTATGTTGTTCAGTCTTTTGCAGTTATGCTGGTGTTATTGCAGGAAGCTGAAATTTTTGGATGTACTTTGTAAAATTCTTGGATATGGTGCCAAGTGCCCTGATGACAATGGGTATCACTGCCACATGTTTTATCCATAATTGTGTAGTTTCAATGGTCAGGTCGCAATATTTTGTGATTTTTTTTCCAGTTCTTTTGCTTCGACTCTGACGTCTCCTGGTACAGCGGTATCGATAAATTGTACACTTCGGTTTTCAACAACTGTGATATCTGGCATGCTGTGTTCCAAATGACAATCTGTCTGTGTTTGAAAGACCCACAAGATCTTCTTATTATTTATTATTGTTATTATTGTTAACATTATTATTGTTATTGTTGTTGTTATTGTTCCTATGAATTCCTCCAATAACTTTGGTGCAATGACAGAAAAAGGAGGCATTACTGGATGATTTCCTCAGGGGTATGCTGAAGTTTCAGCAGTTCCTCAGACCGGGGTAATTTTCCCAGTGTGATTATGACAGCTACAATATACTAGGCAGGTTGATGTCAGTTGTCCAGCCAATTACCTTTTTTCAGGGGAGAGAAAGGCTCTTAGTTCCTGAGAGTTG